CCCGGCGCGTGCGATCTGATTGGAAAATCGGTTTGTTGCATTGAGAAAAAAGCGCGTGTGGTATCCGCGCGCCTGTAATTAATGAAAGAAATCGCTAATCGGGAGAATCATTCCTGTAATGAAATACATTGCAATCTTCTCAGTATTTTTTATTTTTTTTTTGATTATTATTTTGTTAAAACAGCAGAAAGTTATAATTGTAAATATAATTATTTTTGGGATGAGGTTAATCTTCCTCTCCTTTATAATATCCGGCAGTATCGAAAAATCAACGATCGATTAAAATGAAAAATAATTTCGGTTGACTAAAATGACCAAAATCATCAGAGAGTACATCGCGATTAAATATATAGTGATTATTTTAATCAATTACTTTGCTTTGACGTCATACACCGATTAATAATTAATTTCATCGATGGATTAAATTATCCATAATTGCATATATGACGATTTATTAATTTTGACTACCGATTCCCCAATTATTTTAATCAACTAAGATTTTAATCGACTAATGTCCAACAATGTCACGCGACTTATTCAAGTCTAGTCGAGGTAACTGATTACCCAATCCCCAAAAGAATCTGAAATAGAGACGTAAAAACCAAGAGGAGAGCAGACGCAATACGTAAATTACGAAATTCACTCAATCTGTAAATGAAGCAAGAAGTGGGGTTTCAAACGAACTGCTCCCTCGAAATTATTCGAACGAGTCGATCGTTTCGATCCTCTCGAGTGGAAAAAAACTCCGAAATAGACAATGCGTGAAAATGATTTGGCAAACATCCTTTTGAAGCAATTATATATTTTTCCTTTCATAAATATATTCCTCTTATTAATCAGGCATGAAAGCATTAGAGTGGGCTGAAGAGCGGGATGCTTTCCCAGGTATTCCATATTTTATTTTGAGGTGTTCACATATGAGAATAAATATGTGTCGTATATCAAGACAAATATTTCAGATATTTTATAAACAAATATCTATTTTCCGTTGACTTTGCAACAGCTTTACATGTATAGAATGACTCGAAGAATAAATAATTCGCCAAATTCGGGCACTTGAAGAATGCCTAAAGAATTTGACAAAGAAGCTACCCGAAATTGACACCACCCCCATCTATAGATAAAATCTTCTCCCTCTCCCTCTCTGCAGCTAAAAGCTTTATGGGATCGCGTAATGCCCGGAGAAATGACTTTTGATGGACGCACGTGCGAGGTGCGTTGCTCGCATTAATAACCCAACGTATCGCGCGTGCGCGAAAAGGACGACTCGCGAGTCGCGGATCGACGAGAGGAAACGGTAAACCAGCGGAAAAGAAGACAAATACACGGCGTGAATTTCCACTCAGGACAGGAGTCAGAGGCGGAGGCGGAGGCGGCGGCGGCGGCGGGACGAGCGAGACAAAGTTTACTACGTTCTGCAATCGCGCGGTCACGTTTGAGCAAACGCGATGATACTGAAACATCGCGACGATACGGCACGGGGGGACACGTTGCGAGAATAAACGCGATTGCACAGTATGAGCGAGCAACGATAAAGAAGATGCGTAATAATTAATATTAAAACAGGAGGATTGTATCCCCTCGAGGGGGAGAGGGCGAAAGGGGAAAAGAAACTAATAAAACAGGCGCAAACTGAAGCAAGAAAGCGCGCGGAACGGGTAGAAACGGCAGATTCACTTCTGCGACGAATAAAAAGACAGGAACGGCGCGATAAATAGACAGGGGAGCGTAATATCGGAGTGTTATCAGCGGAACAGAGAGAGAGAGAGAGAGAGAGAGGGAGAGAGAGAGAGAGAGAGCGGAACAAGGAGAGAATAACGCACAGAGAGAAGGAAGAGGACGAGGAGGAGAAGGAAACGAGAAACAGAAAGATGGAGGGCACGAAGGGAAACAAAGAACGTGAGCGAACGCACACTTTCTACCCGGGGAGAATAGCGGCGGGGTCACTCTTATCGCCGTTTCCATACGCACGTAAGGAAAACGGTCGCCTTATCTGGCGTTTCCATGAATAATTTAGAGAGCTTCGCGCGCTGAAAACTTCTATCCTGTCGGAGAGAATGAGAGAGAAAAAGAGAGAGAGAGAGAGAGAGAGAGAGAGAGGGAGAGAGAGAGAGAGAGAGAGAGAGAGAGAGAGAGAGAGAGTGAGAGAAGGGGACAAAGAGCGATCGGCCGCAGTCTCGGTCTCTTTCTCTCTTCCCCCGCCCCCCTCCAATCCCCAACCCCGTTCACCGCTGCCTCTTCGTGGTCTTGAGGGCGGTGAAAGAGGGGTGGAAATGTTGGTACGTCCAGAGAAACGTCGGGGATGGAGGAAGAGAAAACGGCAGGAAAACGAAAAAATCGTCCGGACTAAGGGGGTGGAGAGGAGGCAGAAAGACCGCGCGTTGGGGTAGAAAGGGGGTGAGAGGAGGAAGAGAGAGAGAGAGAGAGAGAGAGAGAGAGTGGAGGAGGAGGAAAAGCACGATGGAAAAATAGCCGTGAGCAGAGGAAACTGCTCGACCCTCGCCACCCCCGTCGCACCCCTTTCTCTGCGCGACATGGGAGCGCAGCGCGTGCCGGAACGCTTGTATTCGCTTTCGCTGCTCCGCTGCGCCGATCGTATTCGTGAATCGTATCGAACGAGTGGAACGGAATCGAATCGAATGGAATCGATACGATCGAGCGAGAGCACGGGCGCGTGGCAGCAGGACGGACGCGCGAGATACGTCGCGCGATTCGTAGGACGGAATTAGCGTCGGCATGATCTAACGCTCGGCGGCGCGCGAGCGTGACGGACGCAGGTGGTGGATCGCGTACACGCGGACGCGCATTGCCGGGTCGCATCTGCTTCGTCCTGCTAGGTTTCAGCGCGCGTCTCTTGCATTCTGTCTCCTGCATTCTGTCTCTGTAATCCATCCTGCAGCCGCGAGCGCGAGCGCGAGCACTTCCTGGCGCTCGAAGAGGGGAGGGAAAACATTCAAGTAACACGGGAAATAAAATCGGCCTCTCGGCCGAATTCGTGTTTTAATTATTCGCGACGCGCGCCGCCGTTCACCTCGACTTCGCGTCCAAGAAAATGTATCCGTTTTCTCGGATACATTGCAAATGATTATAAATGATTATTAAGTTATCCAATATACGATGTAAATATAGCAATGCGCGGTCGCTGCGCTGAATGAACGAATGGCTAAATTATGGAGAAGAGCATAATTTGTCGGAATTGGCGAAATTTCTGCGGTCGGCGAGAAGAACATCGGACGGTTCGCACGGATCGCGAAGGGGAAGTTCGGATATTAATTTCTCCGAGCAACTCCGAGGAGATCATCGCGTCACATGTCTCGCCATGTCTGAAACTGTGCTACTTACAGGACTCCGTCTAAAATTGCTCGGCAAGATTTCTCACCGCGATGAACTTGGAACTTATCTGACCTAGCGCGCGTCTCTTTTATTTACGGACACATTTCCACACGGACTTGTCCCACTTTCGCCGACATCCCTCTGGCTCCGCAGATGATTGCGACTCGCGTACTCCACTGTTGACGGAGCATAAAACAGCGTAATGTCGCGTCGCCCTCGGATGGGCGACGCGTAAAACCGGACCGGAGCTCGGTGAGTTAGATGGGAGGTAAACGCAACGCACGCACGAAACGTGCGCGACGCGCGTATGTACGTCGATTCTGCAAGCCCGGCGGAAAAATAGGGGGAGAAACGCGCGGCCGAGACGTGTTTTATCTCGAACCCTCTTTCCCGCTGTCGTAATCGCAATAATTTGCGCGCCGCGGAATCGGTGTCGTGCCGACTTCAGAGTCTCGGTGTTTCACCCCCTCTCTCTCTCTCTCTCTCTCTCTCTCTCCCTCTCTCTCTATCTCTCTCTCTCTCTCTTGCTCTTTGTCTCTCCTTTTCTCGTTATTGCGATTCGCGGCCGGATAGTATCGCGATTTAATTTCGCGTGTGCAATAACGTGTGGTATTCGCACGCTCGAGTCGTCCGACGCTCCTCGTCGCTCCCCGCGTCGTCATAGGCGCGCGCGATAACGGTTCTTTCTTTTTCTTTTTTTAAGAAAATATCTCGGTAACTCGATATTTATGCACAATGGAAGATTTATTATGCGACGTAATCGGAGCCGGGAGAACGCCGGTAGAACGCAATCTTCGGCTGATTACGCGAAAAATGCGTTCCTCAAGCTCCAACTTACCACGGCGGGGCTTTATCGAGTGCTTCCCCGCCTTCCTCTCTTCCTCATCCACGATCTCTCATATTTTTTCAGGCGTGAATTCACCGACGACGTTGCCGATAATTCGAGAATGCGGATCCTTCGACGCGGATTCGCCTCCGTATCTGTTATGACGCGGAAAAACGTGGCCCGGGAGGTTGTTACGTTAAATCACGCGCCCGTATCGCGATATAAAAGCGCAAACGCGCGTCTGGCGGCTCTGTATACTCGCTCGCTCGAAAGTGAGAAGCGCATCGAATGATCACACTTGTTACACAAAGGCTGATTCTCACTATCCGTTTAGACGGCGGCATGCGGGAGGATTTCGTGACGGAAGATTTAAATTGGAAAATTATAATCGAGAAAAAAAGGAGAGAAAAGAATGTTTCGACGAAAGAAGGACTCTCTTTCTCTTTTTCTCTCTCTCTCTCTCTCTCTCTCTCTCTGCCTGCCGCCTAGACGGTCAGTGTGAATCAGCCTTAACCGACCGCGAGGGAGATCCGATATTCGCGAGGGTGATGCTACAAATATCCGTTAAATACGAGCGCGTCGTACATATTCGCGCGTTCGAGATTACTTTCGGCGACCAAGTCGAGCGCGCGGGATGAAAAAGAAAAAGACAGAGAAAGATAAAGAGAGAAGGAAGGAGAAAAAGGGAAGAAACGGCAATGCGCGCGCGCGCACGGGACTTTTATTTACGCGGCGCGAACGCCGATCGAGTGTCGCCGATAAAATGAAAAAGAAAAGTCGAAAAACGCCAAGACGGAGGAGAGGGAAGGATATAAAGGATAAAAGAAGTGGTTCGACTTACCCGGCATGCAGGAACATGTAGAAGGCGAACCTCCAGAGCTCGAGCCGTTTGTCCGGCCTGTAAATGAAGACACTGTCGATCGGCACCGGTCCCGAGGGATTCACCTCGCCCATCGCCACTGTGTAGTACGTGAAGAAACCCAACTGCAACACAAAAGGTGGAGATCGTCAACGGACGCCGGCTCGGAGACCACGTAATAGACGGAGCGACCGCGGAGAGAGAGAGAGAGAGAGAGAGAGAGAGAGAGAGCGGGGGAAGTTCGTCGAATTTATCGGAGCTTGTGCTTCCCTAAATTTCTCGCAGCGACGTTTCACTCGAAATGAATGAGAATTCGCTTGGAACGCCGCTGAAAGCACCGGAATCACACAAGAGCGACTGTTTAGCTCAAACTTCGAGTGGATTCTCGAAGATGTGTACGAGTGAACATTCCGATCGATCGGCACGGATTTGCTGGAATACGTCAGAGTTCACTCTTAGAAGAGGCGGTGTTCGGTCGACTCGAATTCGAATGATTCGGCGGCCGTCACATTCCGCTCTTCGACTGGAGTTTTACTCGGAGAAGTCTCGGAGTCGATTCTCGGCACTCTAAACCTCAAATGCTCAAAATGTTCTCTCCTCGCAGAACTTTCGGGCGGAGTCTCAGTTGGCAGACACTCTCGAAATTCTCTCGGAGTGATGCCTCGCTCAAAGCGAGCGAAGATTCGCCCGAAGCGACGTTGATTGCCAAAGTGACATTAGGAAACTTTGGTCTCGAGCGTGTTATTTCGATATGTTAATTCGTCACATTTCTATCGAGAAGACTTGCGAGAGAAAGGGAAGAAAAATCTCCTATTCGAATGAACTCGTTCTCAAGATCCACGAGTGAATGTCTCTCCACCAGTTAGACTCACATCGAATCCATTCTACCCTTTCGAATACGAATGTCCATTCGACGAATCGCAGAAAAAATTCCACTCCACGCACGACACCCACGAAAAGTCACTAAAACTCAAATTCCAACTCGACCGGCTGTCGCTGTGTGAAGTGAAAAGGTCGACACCGACGCGCGCGATTTACAAGCGGACATTTGCCGCGCATCGCGTTAATTTTCTATGCGCGTTTACACTGCAAAATTATACTGGAGCAATAACAAAACCCTATCCCGGCGAAACGTCACTTGGGTTTATTACGACGTTTCTCCCAGGCGGCGGCCCTTCGAGCAATCCTTCTCCACGGCAGAGAGAGAGAGAGAGAGAGAGAGAGAGGGAGAGAGAGAGAGAGCGAGAGCGAGAGCGAGAGAGAGAGAGAGCGAGAGCGAGCGAGAGAGAGAGAGAGAGAGAGAGAGAGAAGGAGAAGGCTGGCATGGCGGACCGGCTGGCGAAAATATCAAAGAGAAAATATCAAAGAGGAAAAAAGAAAAGGCTCGTGCACCTGTGCGCGCGCCCGAGACAAGCAAGCTCGCTCGGCTCGCTCGCACGGCCAAGCGTTAGCATACGCGTGATGAATTAGTCACGCAATGCATAACAATGTGAGCGATGTGTGGCGTTGTATCGTGGAAAGTCGACTCTCTCGGCAACAATGCAGCGTGCTAACAAGTATGCATGATTTATATCTGCCGGCATTTAGATTTAGACTTCGCGCAAGCTTATCAGCGGCGCTTAATGACGGATCTTTGAGCGGCGGCGATCGGTCGGCGGCGTGCGGACATTTTATCGGCGAGGAATTAATTTCTCTACAAAACGCCGTATCGTTCCGTATGCGCCGTCGGGAAACAAAAAAGAAACGCTTTTCTCGAACGGAGAAAAAGCACAGGCCCTTATCTTCGATCACTAAGTAATATGACGATGTCAAGTTTAATTTACGGACGAGAGTCGAACGCTGTCGGACGCGCGCACAACGTTCGATTGAGGGGAAAACCAAGCTGAATGAGAGCGAAGAATATTAAAAGTGTAAGCAGATCTTCTCCGTTCAGCAAAAATTGCACGCCCTGGCTCGGCTTTCTGTCAAATTACGCGACTGACAGAGTTTGGCTCCCGTTGCGTCTTGTTATTATTTTCGCGATCAAAGCCTCATATACATTTAAATTACAGCCGTGATCAGCCCTCTTTTATCAGCTAGCGTATCGCTCTTTGATTATCGGAAATTATCTCGTTTTTTCCTCCGCCGGTTAAAATATCCCATCCGGCGACGCGGGAATCCGGAACGCAAGCGCGATGCGTCATTTGGCGCGCAGCGTTTGGCTCTTATTACAGCCCTTGTTTGTCACCTCATTCCCGCGAGCCCGCGCGCAGGGCCCGGTATGTAAATCTTGCCGATCATTAAGTATTCCGAATGTCTCAGCGATCAACATATACGCGCGTGAATGTCCGGCGCGCGCGGCGACGCTGAAAATCGCACGTCGCGAAAGTTACAGCAGCGGGGAGACTATTTACCTTAACCACGCTAAGCACACGCTCCACGACCCGTCCGCGTCCCGCGCATGACCCCGGAGAGGAGAGAACACCCCGTGCACAAGGGATGACTAAGAAAACAGCGGAATCCGGCGCGCAGTGAAATGTATGCGCATAAATTGCGCAACTCTCCGCGCGCAACGCCATCGGCGTTGAAAGGGCTAATCAGCGCGACGGTAGGTAGCGACCAAAATGTTGAACCCGGCGGCGGCGACGACGACGACGACGACGACGACGACGATAAAGATGTCGGTCCGCGGCTGTAAAAACGCGCTCGCCCGAGCGGCAGGAAAATAAATGGAAAAAATCGCGGCCGCACGCACGATCCACGCACGACTGCCGGCGGCGGGTTTGCGTGCGCCGCGTTAATATCTCCGCTGCGATACGCGCGGCGTTTATGGTTTATGCGACGTGACATCTCTGCCGCGTATAAAGCGCGGCCCTTGTAAATAAAAACTTTGCGCAAACTTGACGCACGTGCACGAGTTACTTGCCGGCAGGCGAACTCGCTGTTTTGCCACTCGCAGCAGCAGAACGCACGCGGCTCTTTCGCGTCTCTTCGTGAGCTTCAATGTTAAAAACCTCTGCAAATTGGACTCGACTGAGAAAGAGTACTTTAGGCTCCTTTTATTTTCTCTTTCTTCCCTGCGAAAGCCGTCGCTCCTTTTAATAAGTGAATAAATAAATAAAACTAAAAATTTCCTCGCGATCAATTCATTCACCTCGAATTGAACGAAGAACGAAGAGTCTCGTCTCGATGAGTCATTACTCGCTAAATCCTTGAGATTTCCCTCGAGTGGAGGTTGTGAAGTGATTTCTTGTTTATACCGTGACGTCGAATATTTTCATTCAAACGTGAAAAGTGAATTTGACATTCGCAAAGGATAACTTTATTCCGATTGCTCCTCGACATTCGTAAAGTCAAAGATATCTGCTCTTAACTCTGGCGTTATAAAATGTCGTTTATGATATTCGATGAAATATATTTGTTACATAACGGACTAAAAGAATTATGTATATTACATAAAATTATATATACTTATATGTGAATCGTATCTCTCTTATTATATAATAATTATATGAAATTATACAAGTGTGTCTACGAAGGAAGGTTGTGAAATGAGGAAAAGGAGGAATTGTTTCGTTCAATTACACGTAAACTGCCGTAAACGTAAGCAGCGGTTCCTTTCATTGCGAACTTACAGCTCCCGCTGTACGCGTAAATTAGGTCAAACAAAAAATTCCTCTACCATTTGGCGAACAAGCAGCTGCAAAATTCCGACTTATTTAATCAAAGAAAATTGCTATATAATCGCGCGCCGTCATTCGCAAATGAACTCTTTAATAAACAACTCACGATTTTTCAAAATGCTATCCGCCGGCGCAATGATTTCCCGTCGGCCGACTAATCTCGTGTACGCTTCCCTGAAGAAAATTCGGTGCACTTAAAAGGCGCCAAGCATGCATGACGAACTCTAGACATGTCGATAACACACGATCGGCCCGCCAGACGGGGCGAGGGGGGGGGGGGGCGGCGGCGAGATCGAGCGAAGCGGATCATTCGTCGCAGCGGCGCTGTTTCCCCGTTGATCGGCTTTCACGGGGAAATACGGTATCGACGCGCTGGCGAAACGCGGAGGGAGAAACTCTCTCACGTTACGCAAACATTACGAACACGTGTCGCCGTGTCGCGTCGCTTGCGTAGCGTCGCCGTGTTCCTCTCTCTCTCTCTCTCTCTCCGTCCTCTCTCGCGCCTTCGTCGCGCGACGCCGGCAACTTTCGAAATTAGATCGACGTCTCGCGGCGAACAGACGTCGTAAATAAGAGGCGGGACCGGGCGAGGCTTTCCCCGCGTTGTCGTCTCAGCACGCGGATTCGTGACTCGCCTTTGTAAGCCGCCGCGGCGCGGCGCGGCGGCGGGATATACATAGCCGCGGGGGGCTTGTACCTTCGCGTTGTGTATCGTCGCGGATTTAATTTCGCGTTTAGACACGCGCGAGAGCGACTTCGCTGCGACTACGACCGGCCGGCTGACGTCGCCGTCGTACGTTGCCGTTGACAAGTCTATCTGACATTTGCCTGCGGAAATGCGGACGACGCGCTTGAAGAACGCCCGAGAGAACTGGGGCCGGCGGGAGGGGGAGAAAAAAGAATTTACGGCGTGCTTACACGCGACTGGCGCTGAGCAGCGCCGGCGACTCGGCCGACCGTGCGCGTCTTGTCGAGGCGAGTCGACCCAACAAAGTCGGTCTGCATGTTTATCGATATATTGGTATTCCCCGCGCTTTGAGCTCTCGGTCCTACGCGGAGAAAGGGGAGCGGAAGAGGGAGAAAAAAAGAGAGAGAGAGAGAAAGAGAGAGAGAAAGAGGGCAGGAAGCGCTCTCCCGTGTGTTCGCTATTTCCTTGGATTTCCTTCGCTCTTTTCGTGCAAACCGCGCGCGCGAGAAATTAGACTTTGTGCCTAATAAACGGCACGCGGGGGATCAATGGAGAATCGCTGCGAGTCGGCGTGCGAAGTAACTTGCAATTCGCCGAGGCGATAATCGATGCCATCGACATCCGGTTAATCCTATTAATGCCGCAGTGCGCGCGCGATATTATGCGAAAGGTCACGAATCGTAATTGAAGCGGCCGCGCGATTTCGACACAACAGCCGATTAGCGCGATTAGTTGATATTAATCGCCGGCTGCTGAATATTAACGGCGCCGAGAG